AAAAATTAAGATGGTGAAAGGGAAATGTTTGACAGGGAGAGTATATCTCAGAAATGGAAAGGCTGACACTAGGCCTTAGGTCCAAGCACCAGGGTTTTTTTTCTGGTGGCTTCTATCCTCTGAGGGGCTAAAAGGGCAGGACGGGCACATGCTGGCAGCCTAAGGCAGTGATGGCCACGTGCCGTCCTCACCACCACTCAGCCTAGTCTAGGATGTGGCCCAAGCCACTCTCCCTGTCTGACCGCTAACTCCCCACCAGCCATCAGCCTCAACCTCTACCCCGGCTCCCAGGTACCCCTGATTATCCCCCATGCCATCCTTCCATGTCACTCATGTGCTTTGCCTCATAATCTCACCTCCTGGGCTGTTTGGCCTTAGGCCTAGGTACAGCATCCTTGCGTGAGTTCGCTTGCCTGGTGTGAGCCTGGCGCTCAGAGAAAAGGCATCTAGCCAACACTCGAGAGTGCTAACCGCGTGCTGGCATGGTGCTAAGAGCCTCGCATATATCAGCTCATTTGGTCCTCAACATTGCAGGAGGCAGGCAGTTTCCACCCCCATTTTTCAGATGAGAAAACTGAGGCTCGGATGTTAAGTGTCTTTCCCAAGGTCACATGGCCAGGAAGTGGCTGACCAGGAACTTTAATCTGGGCAGCCTGACTCCAGACCTGTTCTCTTGACCCTGACAATGCTATTCCCCATCCCGACACTGGCGACACAGCTCTAAGGAGTGCCTTATCCTTAGGGTGAAGCCACAGTGCCTGGGCTTACGACCTGGGTTATTTTGGAAGTTCTGGACAAGTGTTCCATGTCACAGAGCTTTGAGGGGCCCACCCCAAGGGCTGTCTGTCAAGACATGGAGGCTGGGGGCCCTGGGCCACTCCACGTGAGGCTCTCCCACCACTTTCCAGAATTCCTGCCTGATCCTGTCCCTCTGCTTCAATTCTCTGACTCCAGACACTGAGTCCCCCAAGTTGTCCCTGGGTCCTTCCCTGTGTAGAGCAGGAAGCAACATTCAGCCGGCCTTTCTCAGGGACTTGCTACGGGTGGGCCTGAGCCAGGCACATTCTCCACCATAGCCCTCCAATATCTCGTTTTATTGATGAGCATGTTGAGACTCGGCCAGCCCAGGATCGGGGTTGAGTTAGGTTTTGTACCCAAGCTGACTGTCAGGCTCCAAACTCCTTGCTCCTAACAGGTAAGCTTTAGGAGACTCTACAAGTGCAGCTACCAGACTGCAGGGAAGATGGTAAAATGCAAAAGTAGGCCTGCCCCTTCTAGCTTCCCCTTCAGGCCTGCCCCTCCTGCCCTCCTTCTTGGGCCCTTGGACATGTCCCTCTAGGAAGTGGCCACCTGAGCCTCGTTCTGGCCCATAGTGGTAGGGGCAGGAAGCAGATCCACAGGAGGTTTCCCCATTTCCTTCCACACAGAGCTATTTTCAAGCAATTTGGGGGCTTTCATGCTGCTTGGGCTATTTTAAATGTGACAGTGAGTCCATTTGGCTGCCCAGTAGGAATTCTGGCATGAGGCAGCTGATAACGACTGGGGTGGCCAATTGGTGTGAGATGCTGGAGTTGAAATGCCTGAGTTGTTCTCATGGTTCACCAGAGGTGGAGCCACTGGCTTCTACAGATTAGGGTGAATTGGGGCTGTCTATCCACCAGCCACTATGGTTATAGGAACCCTTAGCGATTACCCAGTTTCCTTTGCATCCCAGACTCATCCTCCATCCCCCATCCTTCCAGATGTGTGTGTCCTACTATCTGTCCTCCCTTGTTCCTCCAACCTCCCACCACTGTCTTGTCTGGCCAGCCCTAACAACTTTTGGCGTGCCTGGTTTAGCAAAGCTTTGTGCTTGGTGCTCAGTTGGACCTTCACACTAATTAGACTCCACCATGCCCACACCCACCTCAGAGGACCAGCCAGCTAGGGTCATAGATTCTCAGGCAGATTTTCTGACCTGGCTAGGTTCTCCTTCTCTCTCTCTCTCTCTCTGTCTCTCTCTGTCTCTCCATCTCTCTTTGTCTGTCTGTCTGTCTGTCTCTCTCGCGCCCTCTCTCTCTTTCTCTTTCTCTCGCTCTTTCTCTTTCTCTTTCTCTCTCTGTCTCTCTCTCTTACTTGGAGAGGGCCTCTTAAGGCTCCTGCCACTATTTCTCTGTTATCTGGAATGGCTGACTGGGACCAGACCAAAGGGTGAGGCAATAGCCGTCCACACACTGTGCTTGTTGGATGCAAGACCTGTCATGTGTCAGCATCTGTGTTTTGTTTTGTTTCTTATTTCACGGTGATTTCTTGTGTTTGGTCATTTGTGCCGTTAACACAGATTCTTGTGTGTGCGCCTCTCTCTCATCCTTTCTTTTTTTCTCTCCCTCCTTCTCTTTCCTGCACCCCGGGTTGCATGTGGCTGCCCCAGGGAGTAAAGGGCCAACCAGGCGAGAAGGTGAGTCCACACTTTCCCTCTGTCCTTCTGTCCCAGCCTCTGCTTTGGGATAGACGGTGGGGGTGGGGCGCTTTCAGAGGCCCCAGCTCAGCCCTCCTCGTGGCACACGGGCCCAGCAGAGCTGCCAGCCAGGCCTGTTTTGCCCTAGCAGTCTCTCACGGCCTAGTTTCCTAACAGCTTCCACACATCAGGCAAGAGTCTTGGGATTCCTGGGCTGAGGCCCCAGCTCCCTGGCTGAGCGGGTCTTCCCTGCCTGCTGAAGCTGCCCGTGGCCTCAGAGCTCTGATCCCAGGCCTTAGGCAGTCACCCTTCCCAGAGGCAAGGAGAGCGCCAGTCCTGTTTTGTGTGGGATGCATCATCGTGCCTACCTCCTAGCAGGGCACAGTCTGGGGCCTTTTGTCAGAGCATCACCTCTCACCCCCATCTGTGTTCCATACGCCCTTCATCTTCCTTCTGCTGCCCCTCCCCACCAAATCCTGGCCCAGACTTAACCCCTCTGTGTCGCTCCGAAACCTGGACTAGGAAGTTGCAGGCAGCTCCAACCTTCAGGCTTAGGGCTGCTGGGCCCATACAGCAAGGGAGTGTCTTGTCCCTACTCTCTACTTTCAGCAACCCCCCCACAGGCAAGCCACTGTTCACCAGTTGCAGGGTGTGCAGCCACATGGGTATTGGGGGCTGGGGTAGGGAAGAAGACCTGGGAGTTGGAAACTTGAGTGGGGCTGGGGCAGGTTGGAGAGTGTCCTGAGCAGGGCCATGGGGAGAGACGACTAGTGCCTGAGCAGCCATGGCTGAGCTGTGTCCCCTCCATCTCTCCCTCCCTCCCTCCCTCCCTGTGCCACCTTCTTCCCCAACACTGCACTGAATCCCCATCTCCCCGCTTCCGGTCTGGGTCCCACTGCCCTCTTTCCTCGATCCCCATATCTTATGCTCTTTCTATATTTCTTCTTGCATCATTCCTCCTCCTTCCTCATTGCCTTTCTCAATCCTTCCCGGATGCTCCATTCGTCCCCTCTGGGTCTCTTCTTTTTTCCTCTGCATCTTCTGGCCTCCTCTGCCCTCCTGCCTCTGGCTGGCACCCCGCTCTAACCTGCTTCTCCTTCCCCACCTGCCAGCCCCTCCCTTTCTCTCTTCTCTTCCCACCCCTCTTCCCTCCTGCCCCTACCCCTCGCTCCCTCGTCCTCTCTCTCTCTTCCATAGGGGGCCCCAGGAGATGCCGGGATGTCCATCATCGGTCCCCGAGGTCCCCCTGTAAGTGATATTTGCTTTTCTTGGGAGTGGGTGGGATGGGCGAGTTAATGAAAAGGGCTTGGAGTGGAAGCAGAGTACGTTCTGGCGGTACGTTTGGGTGCGGCAGACACCACATGTGTCCAGGCCTTGGTACTGCCATTGATGGTAATGAGTGGCCTGACTAAATATACCTAAATTATAGCCTCCTAGGAGGATTTGCAAGGGCCTACCCTCTAGCCACGAAACTATAGCAGCTGCAAGGTGGCCCTGCTGTTTACATGCAGAGGGAAGAAAGTGCTCACTCCCGTCTGGAGCAGGTGCTCCAGCTTAGCAGGGGACAAGCCTTTTTTCTGGAAGCCCATGGAGCAGATACCCAGAGTCCAAGTCCAGATTCACTGACCCGACATCCACTCCTGGTCCTGGCAGAGGCCAGACCTGCCACTTGCCCTCAAAGGCTCCTTTTGTGCTCAGCCTGTGCTCAGCCTGTGTCCTGTGTCTTAGTCCTTCTACCCAGTAACTGGGGTCTTGGAAAAATCAGAGAAAATTTTCCTTAGGGACCAGAAGGGGGACTTGGGTGATGGTACGGAAAAATATTGACTATGGAAAGGAGGACTAGGGCTGTTTTGCTCAACGAGTGCCTGAACCATGGGGCTTCAATACAATCACAAATGTCAGGGTGGAAAGGACCTCAGCAATGGTCTAGCACAGCCCTCTCAGTAGGGGAAACTGAGGCCCAGAGAGGGGAAGTGGCTTGGCCAGGGTTCCATGCATAAAGGCTGGATCAGGATTAGAACCCAGGAACCCTAGCATCCAGGGCTTGTATAGCAACAAGCCATAGTCTCTACGTTCTGCTATGTGCTTTTCCTGACCTGCCATTCATGATGAGAGGGTGAGGGGAGCACAGGGCTAGCCTCTAGGAGTCTGATGCTACACCAGTGGATGGATGAAGCCCCACCTGCCCTTTCTCTGCCTTCCATGAAAAGAGCCAGTGGGAAGCAGGAGTCTCTACTACCCACAGTCTAGGGAGAGGGATCAGAGTGCGAAGTGCTAACTCGTGTTCAAGGGAGGGAACTATGATGAGCTAAGCAGCCAGAGAGGGGCTGTGGTGAGTGATGGGAGCTGAGAGGTAGAGCCAGTCAGGCTGCCTGGAGACTGGGGAAGGTTGGAGAGGGGAGCTGAAGGGTAGAGCTAGGGAGCCTGCCGGGCAGGTCAGGGTCCTGGGCTGGAGGCGGGGTTTGAAGGGACCTGGGCTGCGTAGACAGGGCCTTCTTGGCAACATTTCCTCTGGCACAGTAACAACGCTAAGGGCTGACACTTGGCACCTACCCTGAGGCAGGCAGTATCCTAAGACCTTTACACATAATAACTCAGTTAATCCTCACAAGAGCCCCACAGGTAGACGTAGCACCTCTGTTTTATAGGTAAGAAAAACAAGGCACAGAGAGGTTGAGTGATTTGCCCAAGGTCATACACTGGAGTGTGGTCACACTGGAATTTGATCCCTCAGCCTGGCCGCATGGCTCTGCGTCTGCACTCTGAACCCTGATGCTATAGCAGACGGCCAGGCCATGCGGTCACATTCTCTGTGATTCTGGGCTCACATGGCTACAGCCCCTATGGGGCTGGAAGCCTCTTTGTGTATTGGGAGAGACACAGTGCGAATACACTGAGCCCAGTCGTTACTGACAAAGGTAGTACCCAGCAAGCTGGTGACTGGGAGATGGGAAGATTACAGAGAAAGACAGACCCTAGGTCCTGACAGCAAGGGCCAAGCCTGGGGTGGGCCTATTAGGAGAACAAGGAATAACACAGAATACAGGTCCTACCCTCTGGCCACCATTTCTGCCTCACTGTCTGACCACAGAAGTTCCATTGTGTTGATCACGCTGGTCCTCTAACACCCTTTTAGCAGCATCTGTCAGCAGCATCATGTCAACGAGCTACCTAAACGTTGTTGAAAAGGCCCCACTTCTGGAGAACATGCTCAGGGCAGTGGTCTGCCTGAGCTCCCATGGCTTCCAGCCCCACATTCTAATCAGGAACATACCTCTGTCGTTGGATTTGATCCCAATGGTAAAAGCACCTTCTGTTCAGGTAACAGTGATGACTTCTGTCTCCTGGGCACCTAGTGCACCCTGCATCCTAGACAAAAGCTCGTGTATGCACCAGTGTCCTTCGATCCTCTCAACAAAGCTGTGAGAAGGCCCCGCCAGCCCATGTCACAGAGAAAGAAACTGAGAGTTTCACAACTCACCTGTGTTCACCCAGCTGGTCAGTGCTGGAGCTTGGGTTGGACTAGGTCGGCCTCTTTCCAAAGCCAGCATTCTTTCCCCAACACCTCATTCCATGTTTTAAGCTCTCCTATTTAAAAAAGATATTTACCTTAAAGAGAAAAAACATTCTCCCTGTGGGTGCCGTGTGGTGCTAAGAAAAGTTTTATGGCACCAGGAGGCTTGACCAAGCCCATGTCCTCCAACTTTGGCCTGTGTGGGTGACTATCACCCAGATGGTCAGGGCCACCCCTGCTGAGTCCTTGCTAGACACCAGGGCAACCCTCTCTGCTCCTCTACAGAAGCCACCTGGAGCTGATGAGAGCAGGGGACCAGGGAAGACAAAGGGACCATTCGTCATTAAAACGTAGAGGTCAAATGGGCAAGCCCTCTGTGGCCGGGTATGTTGGGGAACATGTGGCTTTCCACTTGGCTAGGAAGGGCTCAGCATATCTGCTGCTAATAAGAACCAGCCCTGCTGCCATCAGGGGCCACCTGCCTCCTCTCTTGGAGCTTTGTAAATAGTCCAAGTAAAGGGGCAACTGTCCAGGCACTTTGGAGAAGGATGATTCACATTCCAATGAAGCGAGATGCTGAAGCTGTTGTCCCATTAAACTGAGGGGGAGGCTGGGACCTCGAGATACTGGCTGGTCCAGCAGACACTGGAAAGGTCATCTGCCAGGCTAGGAAATGCCCCCCATCTCAAAGGGAGCTCAATCCCTCCCTGCACCCCGCAGCTTCTCTGCAGGGGACAGGAGGAGGTATCTGAACTTGCAGCCCTCATCCACAAGAAGATACCCCTGCCAGGTCGATATACCTGTTGAGTGTTTCCTGGTTTATTTTTTCCATTAATATTTGCTATGCACCTCCTGCTGGATAATCAGCAATGAAAACCTGACTGCAACGGGCTTGCCCCTTTGCAAAGAAGCCGGCAGTCCCATAGTGATTACAATCCAGTCAGTGCTCAGCCTGGGGCAATTAGGAAGCTGTGGGGACACGAAGGAGGCACGTGACTTTGGGTCGGGGCAGGCAGGGGAGGCTTTCAGGAGGGAAGGATAACTAAATTGTGATCAAGAATGAGCAAAGGTTACTTAGTTACCAGGCTGGGGAGGAGCACTGAGTCCCTGAGGCAGGAAGGGTTCCTATTAACTACTGGAGAAGAAGGGAAGTTCTTTCCAGAACAAAGCAAGGACAAGGCAAGGTGAGCAAGGGCCTGATCATGAAGGACCTGGACTCCATGTTCAGGAGTTGGGGCTTTGTCCTGAGGGCAGTGGAGAGCCCTTGGGCTGTGTTTAGCTGAGGAGGGACATGATCGGATTTGCAGTTTATAAAGATCTCTTGATCATCCCCACCACCTCCAGTGTGGAGCATGTTTAAAAGAGGCTACGGTTGGGGGCCTGGCTGGAAGGCACCTGCACTAATCAAGACCTGGACTGGAGCACAGTCAGTAGGGCTGGTGGGAGGACTGGACTGGCCAGATATTTTGGAGGTGGAATTGATGGAATTGAGTGATGACAAAAATGGAGGTTGAGGGAGAAAGAGGAGTTCAAGATGACTCCACATTCTGACTTGAGTAACAGAGTGGATGGGGTGCCCTTTCTCGGAGGGAACGGCAGATTTTGCGGGGGAGGTGAGTTTTATCTGAACAAGATGAATTTGAGAAGTCCTTTTAATGTCCAAGGAGAGCTGTGTGGCTCTCCATTTGCTGCTGGAGGTCAGAGGGCATAGTGTACCGAGCTGGCTCACACTGGTTCACAAGAGCAGGTCGTGCACACCCCTCCCAACTCTGTTCAGTGATATCACGCTGGGAGCTTGAAATCAGCTGTGGTGGAAGTATTTACACCACAGAAGTTGGCAAATGCTGTGCAAAAGCGGGGCTCTCCTCTTCACTCTCCCCAACCCCAGCCAGTGGTTAAACACCAACACAGACTCTTGTTTGAAAGAGAGTCAGCACTGACTTGGAGAGAGAGAGAGATAACATGAGGCAGGCTCTAGGCAGATACGTGACTGAGCCTCTTTCAGGAGTCAGATAGGAGGGAAGGGGGGGTTCTTGGTAGGCTATTTTCATCCACAACCTCCTATCCATTCACGTTGCTTTGCCTCGCACAAGTTTGTAGGTACGAGGAAGGTAGAGAGGAGAGGGAGTAGGGTCCGTTTCCAAATGCCGGGGATCCACTTGGCTCCCTCTCCACCTGGGCCTCGAGTTAAGGGAAGGGCTTTTAGAGAGCAATGTAAAGCTTATGTCCCTTGTTCTTTCTAGAAGAACATAATAATAATTCATAAATTAGTCTACAAATCGATAATCCATAATTTTAATATGATCCTAATCCAAGTGAATTTTTATGGAGTTGAAAGGCCAACAAAATAATATTCAATTTAATTTAGAAAAAAATAAGCTTGTGAGGATGTTAGGAAAATTCTGAAAAATAGATTAAGGGAGATAGTGAGGAGGGGACTTATTCTACTAGACATCAAAATGTATCATAAAAACAGAGCAGGTTACAACACACATAAAACAGAATGGGCAGGCCAGAAATAAAGCCAAGTGCATCTGAGAAATTGGTCCATGATAAAGGCTTCATTTCACAATAGGGAGAGAAAAATAGATTGTTCAGGAAATGTTGCTGGGACAACTGACAAGCTGTTTAGAAAAAGGCAATATTAAACCAAAAAAAATAATAAGCTTTAAAAAAAGCTGAATATCTACATCACTTGTTATATCATAATAAATTTCAAATGACTAAAATACTTACGTGTAAAACATGAAACCCTAAAATGCGAGGACAAAGCATGAGGAAATCTTTTCTAATTTTTAACTGGGGAAGGCCCTTCAGAACACAAGATAAAACCCAGAAGCCACAGGAAAAGGCTGATAAGTTTGTGGACGTAAATGTCAAACTTCCATATGGCAAAAAATATATCATAAAAAAGATAAATGCCAACTTGAAAAGAATTTTTGCAACATATATGATTATCAAAGGGTTACTGTGCTTGACAAAGAGCTTTACTCAAGTTAATAGGAAAAAGACAAACAACCTAGTAGAAAGTATTGGTAAAGAATACAAACAGGCCATTCACAAATAAATAGGACCAGCAATAAACATGGGAAGAGATGTCCAACCTCAGCATAGAACTGAAAAGATGTAAATTAAAATCCAGTTCCAAACCTCTCCTGTGCCTTCCACAGGCCCAATCTCTCCAGAGTCCCAGTTTCCATTTGGTCAATGACAACATTCTTCCCAAGATCCCCTAAAATAAGCCTTGGTTAGCCCCGGGTTTGGCTCTGGGCTGGGGGCTGGAGAGATGCGTCCTGCTACCGGGGCAGGCTCTGTAATTAGCAAACGATGTGATTATCCCCACCATGTAAACATTAGCCCAAGTGGGACTTGAAAATGCTTCTTGGAATCCTCTCCTGCTGACCTTTCCTTCAGGCCTCTCAGTGGCCAGAGTCGAAAGTTTACACTAGGAGGTTTTAGAGGTTACAGTGCACAGTTTCTGGGTTTTCTCCTTGGCGCTATTCTTAGCGTCACTTATCCTTGAGAGGAGAGAAACCCGGGGCCCTTCTGATGTATGAGTGGCATCTCTTCCCTCTTGCCCTTTTGGATGCCTGCCACAAGACCATCTTGGACCTACAACATACTCCAGTTCACTCCCCACCTGACCAGTGCACCCACCCTGATGGCAGGTCCCCATCCCACCCAGCCATGTCCCCTGAGCAGAGGTCTCTGGGCACTCATGTCCACAGCTTCAAGGAGGACCCAAGCAGCCTGGAAATGTTTTAGGTTCACAGCAGATGGATCCAGAGAAATCTTCCTCTGGACAGAGTCTGATTCTGAAACTATTGCTTTGCAAGGACAACCCTCCATGGATTCTAAGACATAGCGGGCTCGAAAGCAACCTTGCTTTATTCTGGCATTCCAGGGTTCAGTTTAACCCAACAATCATCCGATGATGGCAGCTACTACTTCAAAAGCCTTCACAGACATAATGGAATGTAATTCAATGACCCTACGAGGTTATACTATTGTCTCCGTCCTCTAGATGAGGTGACTGAGGCACAGAGAGGTTAGATAAGTTGCACAGAGTTACACAGCCATTGTTTATGGAGGCAGACGGACTCAAAAGCCCAAGCTTAGACAGGGATTGTGGCCATTTTGGTCAAGGGGGAGCTCCGAGCTAAGAGCTAAGTAGCCGGGAGCTGAAAGATGTGGTATGTCTGGGGAAAGGCAGGCGAGCCAGTGTGCCCGAGCAGAGTACATGGGAGGATGAGGCAGGAGAGAACCTAAAACGGCAGATCGGGATGACATTGAGGATGACCCTGAATAACATCTGAGTAGAAGAGAGCCCTTGCTGGTTCTTGAGAAGGGGAGTGGCAGCGCTTATTCTTCTTAGCTCTCTGCTACCCTTGACCTCCTGCTCAGCCTTCCCCAGTCCCGATCTGCACAGCTTCATGCTGCTTCTAACCTCTGCGCATCTCTTGTCCATAAACCACTGGGCTGTGACCAGTGAACCTGTTTTTAGTCTCCAACCTGAATACCTATCTATGCGGCCCTCTGCATCTTCAGGAAAATGGTCATAAATTGATCTGCATCCCGCAAAAATGGAGGGATCCAGAGATTTCCCAACTAGGAGAGGCCTGCTGGCCAGGGTGAGAGGAAAGTGAGTAAGCTGACTTATTCTGGCCTGAAAACACATATACCGAAGGTCAAGTTTTGATTCTCACTGATCCTCAGATAAGTGGCCATGAGCAACGACTGTGTAAATAAAAGGGTCTTAGAAAACCGCAGTCCAGAAAGAGTTCAGTGTGCTGTGGGCCAAGTCCACCCCCCATCCTGGCTCTCCATCACCTGTTTACATGTCGAGGTTCGGAGTGTCCACAGCAGTGTGGAGTTCTCGGGGGCTACTTCCCAGGAAGACCCAAAGGATGCTGGCCACCTCCTTTCCCCTTCCCACCCCCAGTGCCTGGAGGAGAGAGCCTATGATGTTCCACTTCCAGCCTCATCCTCCCTCCCAGCGCTGCCATCGTGGTGTCTCCTCGATGACCACAGAGGAGTAGGATGGAGACCACGGCCGCTTTGGGAACAAAGGTGAACCAGGGGACTAAGGATCAGTTTCATCTCCTCCTCACCATCCTCACTCCTCTCCATTCTTTTCAGGGTCAGCCGGGCACTCGAGGTTTTCCTGGATTTCCGGTAAGTGGGGAGGGCTGAAGTTAACTGTGTCCCCAGTGACCCCTGGGCCTGGTTGGGTTAAACTTCATGCAAAGCCAGCCCTGAAGCTGCTCTTGGCCCTCCAAACCCCGATCAATAAAAACACTCTCCTGCAGGCTTTCTTGGAGAGCAATCAAGGAGAAGAATTAGCACTTGGCTTATAGTCCAAGTGAGGACAGGGACATTGATATGGAAAAAAGGGGGCAGCAGGACAGGAACAGGCAAGTGAAGTCACAGGCTGGTAAACCCCAGCATGACACTGGAATGTGGAACCGATGAGGCACCGCAGGGGATCAATCTCCGAAGACCAGGCTTTGAGAAGAGATCGTCTGGAGGAGGCGGGAGGTGGCTGTCTGGGTATCCTTTGACCGCTGCTTCAGGGACCCAAGAGGGAGGGCGGAGGAGCAGCTAGTTCCCCTTTTCCGCGGGCTTCCACGCTGGCCAGCTCTGGCTTTCTAGGAACATACTGTCCACTCTCCACCCAGGGTGAGGCAGAGGTCTGGACAGCAATGGCAACGGCCCCTATCAGGTCCTCGTGCAGGGCGCCTGGCAGACGGCATCTCACTCACTACTCTCAAGGACCCTTTGTAGAAGGTCTGTTATTCTCACCCCCATTTTAGGATGAGAAATTGAGGCTTAGGTTCACCTGTGGTCACATAACCAGGAAGTGGTCAATCAGCCCTAACTGTTGGAGCCTTCCACATGCCCCAGGCTGCTTCTTCGGCAGGAGATCTGGGATGCCTGGTCTTTATGCTTGTCCTCTTTCTGCTTTCAGGGTCCCATTGGGCTAGATGGCAAACCGGTGAGTAGACCCTCTCAGGCTGCGGGCTCCTCCTCCGTCACTCAGTCCTATTCTCCAAGTCCTTCTGCAAGACCCCGACTCCCTGGAAGAAGCTTCAGATAGAATGAATGAGCCTGTGGCAGAAAGGTGCTGCCAGTGGGACGGGAAAGGGGCCATTTA